CCAAGTGAGAGGGTTTCAAAGTTCCCAATATGACCAAGTGGTTGAAGAGGCAAGAAAACAGCCGGAAAATATCGAAGTATCAAGCTACATGGTCTTGATGTTAAGTTAGATACTGACATGTATACGGCTTCCGGTTGGCCCTCAGTTAGTGGAGATGCTTTGAAGGTCTTGGCTGGGAAGGTTTCTGCTGAATATGATTTCATAGATGATGCCTGTGACCCACCCCTTAACAATTCTCCCGAAACAAGTGAACTAAACACATCTTCTTATGGGACTGCTTTTAAAGCATTTGGAGAGGGCAAGAAGGGGAGGGAAGCTTGCCATGCAATTGCTTCATTATGTGAAGTTTGCTCAATCGATTCTTTGATTTCAAATTTCATCCTTCCTTTGCAGGTTATTTCTGATGCCATGTTTTAGTTGTCTTGCATATTTATTACTTTATACTGGAGAAGACACAACCTCATGACTTTTTTCTTTTTCCTATTAAGTGGTTTAACTATGTCAGACTTATAGTTTACTGTCATATATTTTTGCTGATTTTATGTTTATGTTTGGTTTGCACATTGTTTCTCAATATCCAATTGAGACTACTAGGTTCCTTTACCCTTCTTTGGTTAGATCCATTGATAATGGAGGACAGACCTTGAGTGCATACGGAGGATTGGTTTGAACTTATCGTCACTTGGCCCTTAAAAGGAGCCATGGTGGCACTTGATCTGAGAAGCTAAGTTGACTGGGAATGCGAGTTGGTATCAGTAAACCATATAACAACTTCAACAATTATTCATTGGACTTGACTTCTATGGTTTTTTGGATCTCTTTTATACTAGGATATCTCTTTGGCGTGACTGTTGATGTTTGATCATTTTTATGTTGTCTTATTAATCCTTTACTATTCTTAAGATTTCCATATAATCCTTCAAAAAGGTTTTCTTTATAATCCTTGTTTCTTGCAAGGCCTTTTATTATCACGTTCTTGAGTAGCTATTAATATATTGTCTCTTTTCTGCTAATGTTAGAGTTCAATGGTACTATCGATCTCATTTTACTGCAGGGAACTAATGTGTCAGGCAAGAATGGGCATGTTCATTGTTCACTGAATATCAACACAGAAACTGGGCGCTTATCAGCTAGGAGACCCAATTTGCAGGTTTATTTTTCTTCTTTATATTATTTGTTTGTTCTAACATCTATTTTATGAAGAATGAGCTGGAAACCTTGCCCAAAATGCTTTCTAGCATCAGATGTTGCTTTGAATTGAATACCAGTAAATTTGACTCCAAGTTGACAACCTACTGAGTTTGTAATTGGGTTCTTATGAGCTTCTAAGTGGCACCAGAACCCGACTGAATTGTTTGGTGAATTAAAAACTTGTCTATGAGTAGCAGTTTATTGAGTACTTATAAGCACTTTTTAAGTCTCTTCGGGGTTGTGGTCTGTTTTGTTTTTTAGGTGAGTGGAGGAAGGGAAGGATTGGGGTTTTTATGTGTGAGCTACTTTACAGTTTACATAGATAATCACAGTACAAGGTCATTAGCAATGCCTCTTTTCTCTTGTTTTGTTAAGAAAATACTCAAAAGTCAAGAAATTGAATAGAAAGAAAATAAATTTATTGCATTGTTGCATGATTTACTAGTGCATCAGGAATTTCATATTTTTAATGCCTTACTTTAAATAACATCAGAATCAGCCAGCTTTGGAGAAAGACCGGTACAAGATCCGTCAGGCATTTATAGCTTCACCTGGAAATTCTCTCATCGTTGCTGATTACGGACAGGTCAGTGGCTTGAATTATTTGTGTAGTTCAAGGAATTCTATGATTTGATTGAAATTTGTATGCATCTCACAGCTGGAACTCAGGCTTCTTGCACATCTGGCTAATTGTAAGAGTATGTTGGATGCCTTTAAAGCTGGTGGAGATTTCCATTCAAGGACGGCAATGAATATGTATCCACATATTTGTGAAGCCATCAGAAAAGAGCAAGTGCTCCTTGAGTGGCATCCTCAACCTGGTGAAGAGAAACCCCCGGTTCCATTATTAAAGGTATCCTGTCAATTCTGCAGTGAAGATATAATCTGAACTGGCAAGAGTTAAATTTTTTGTTTCTGTAATTGTTATTTTGTTTTTTCTTATTTGTTTTATTATTCATTAATTTGGTATGGTATCATTGGTTGCACATCTTAGTATTTCGTTTGATGGCCATCTTTAACTCTAGAGATATCGCTGGATGACAGACCCCTTGCTGCCTCTATAGTATGGTTACCTTTTTTTCTTTCCCGAAAAAATGTTCGAACTGCAATTGGATGAAATACTTAACACTCTTGATGAAACCACTGAGAAAGAAGTGGACTTTTATCATTTTGCGTAACTTAACTGTGGAGAATGATTTTGTTATGCAAATTTTGGTTTCTTTTATCTCGATAAATTATCTTGTTTCTAGAAGCTTGCTACATTTATATTTTTCAGTTTAGACATATTCGTTGTAGATGAGGATACCATTTTTTTTGTTTGCCTTTAGTTGATTCATACTTGTTAATTGTGTATGTTTACCCTGTTCTAGAATACAAACCCATCGTATAAGTTGAAGACCATCGCTTTCAGTGCAATTTTGAATATTAAAATTGTTAGATTTAAAGAATTATATTATCCTAAGAAAATAAAGAAAAGTAAGTGACTCAATTTTTGTTCCAATTGCTAATTTGTGCTGCTTTTAAAATTTTTGGCCAGGATGCATATGCTTCAGAAAGAAGAAAAGCCAAAATGCTGAACTTTTCCATTGCATATGGAAAAACGCCTATAGGGCTTTCTCGTGATTGGAAGGTACCCTCATCTACTGGTCCTAATAGCATCAATTGTTTTTGTTGATTTTATTCAAAACAAGTTGATGTGGATGGGCATATTGGTCCCAATCTTGTTTTCAGGTTTCTGTGGAAGAAGCACAACAAACAGTTGATCTCTGGTATAAGGAAAGACAAGAAGTACTTAAATGGCAAGAAGCTCGTAAGGAAGAAGCTCGAACTAAAGGACAAGTTTTTACATTGCTGGGACGGACTCGTCGGTTTCCAAATGGTCGTATGTCGCGAGCCCAAAGGCGTCACATCGAACGTGCTGCCATCAATACCCCAGTGCAGGTTTTCATACCTCTCTATCATAAACTTAAGTGCCTACTCTCTCTCTCTCTCTCTCTCTCTCTCACTCATATAGGTAACTGCCACAGGGAAGTGCCGCTGATGTTGCAATGTGTGCAATGTTAGAAATATCAAAGAATGCTCAATTGAAGGAACTTGGATGGAAGCTGCTTTTACAGGTAACATGTTCTTCCCATTCATTTCTTTCCTTTCATGTTCTTTCCTTTTCTCAATGAGGATTGTTTTCTGTTTTTCTTTTAAAAAACTAATTGCTTGTAAGTTATGACTGCTGTCGTTGGAGCATTCTTAGAGTTCCAGTCGATTTGGTTCATGAATTTACTTATCCCGAACCTAATCTGCCTGCTCCCGAGAACCTTCTGCGGGTTCTTCATTTGCCAATTTAATGTGGAGCATTAGTCACCATGGCCTCACAGTTTACCAAACAGCTTTAATTGGCTCATGAACATAACATTCTATCCAAAGCAGGTTCATGATGAAGTGATCTTAGAAGGGCCAAGTGAGTCAGCTGAGATTGCCAAGGACATAGTTGTGGAGTGCATGTCTAAACCCTTTGACGGAGAGAATATTCTTAGAGTTGGCCTATCCGTTGATGCAAAATGTGCACAGAACTGGTATGCTGCCAAGTAGGTTCCAGCTTCCCTTGCTTCCGATGGAGATGGGTTATGTCCAACAGCTTCATTTTGGGAGACTAGACTTTTTCGAAGTGAGGAAAGAGTTTCTGGCAGCAGCACTGATTCTCTAATAAGCTGAGAGGAAAATGCACCAGTTCTTTTAAGGTCCTTTCCTCAGGAATTCATGTTTTTGGGACTGTGACAGGTTTTCTGCCTTTCCGGATGGCCAGTTTTGTGGCAGTCTAGGTTTTCGAAAAGATGAAGGTAGACCAAGCGTGGTCAGATGAACAAGTAGGTGGTTTGCCATTCATATAATCAAGTGGAAGATTATATGATAGATTTAGTACCTGCATATAAGAATTTGTGGGGCATTTCCATTGTTTATTGTGTTCATAATTGTATGAAAAGTGGTGATGGTAAGTTGTGTCGTCTTTGTTTATTTGGCACTGATGAATATCTAACTTGATTTTCTTACCATGTAAGGTTCTTTTGTATATTGTTTCAGATGTTTTGTTTTTGGGGTAAATCACTGTTTAAATTCCTAACTATGTAGTTGTAGTTACAATATGACTTTTAAATTCACAAAATTATTCTAAAAATATGTATTTTATAGAAATTCAGAAACTTTTTTTCCTATAAATTTACTTTTTTTTTTTATATATATATAATTTGAAAGTTATAGCAATTAAATTATTCGGATTAGATAACAAATTGAAGATGGAAGATTACATTCTGTGTCAGATATCAAATTATAACCAGAAAAAAGTTAGAATTCATTTATAACAAAACCCATAATTAGGGTATTAATCAGCAGTCTAGTTAAGCTTTATTTAATTACCAAAAAACAAGTATGAGTTTTCATGTTGCAAACTCATATTTTGAAGTAAATATGTTGCAAAAACCTAAATATAATGCTTAAGAAATCATGATGATATGCCACATTATTAAGGTTTTATATTCTTGTTAAACATACTTTATTTTTACTATTATTTCCTTTAGATTTAAAAAATTAATTTTATAAAAGTCTTATATTTTCATTCAAAATGTTCTCCCCCCAGAGTCTTAAAATCTCAAAACCAGTGTTTCTATTCTAGAATATAATAGATCAATCTTAATTGATGCTATATATCAAGAGTCCCTTAGCATTTGCAATATAATTAACATCAAGCATTTTCTCTTGTCAAGAATCAAGAGCTTAAGTCTGATGTTCGATCAATGTAATCAAGAAACCAAAGCGAAATTTGTGGTAGATGCACCAAATCTTCAATATATTATCTCATTGGGATAGCACCAGAGTTTGAATACATCAATATCACTGACATAACAATTGTGACAATAAGTATTGTGAAAAAGTAGCTTTCTGGTTTCATCAAATCAAGCTATACACTCAGAAATCCAATAATCTTTCTCTACCAACATTTTCAGAATGCAAAGTCTGACTTAAAAGGGGACTTAGTATGCGCGTAGTGATTACTATAATGTTAGTTGCCATAAGAATGTGCGAAAAGAACATTGCACGCCGTTATAAAAAGGGTTTATAATCGTGAGAAAAATGAGAAAGTAAAGTTAAAAGGGAACATTTTGCCAATAGCCTTTAAGTTTCATTTCCAGTTTCCGTATAAAAATTCAAACAACAATGCTTTCAGAGGAAGCATGCCAATATTTACAAATAGTAAACGTAATAATGGAACTACTATACTACTTCATGGGTGGATAAAATACATTTAAGGACAAACATGTATCTTTCAACTTTGGATTAAAAATGTGTTCATGTGTGGCTTTCAAGTTCTACTTGCACATTTGTTTGAAATCTAGGCCTTTTTGGTCTTTAAATACGACATGATATATTTACCAATCACTATATCAAAATTTCTCATGCAAAAAGTACAGAAAATCACCCCCAATAAGCTCTTCAGCAACTCACTATTTCTCAAACTGTTGCAGTTCAATTCCCCAAGCTGATGCCAACTGCATAAGAAGCTGGTCAGGTGTTGGACCCTCCCAGTCCTCAGGAGGGTCCATTGTTGAGGATGCTTCATGCAAGTTCAACAAGAGCTCCTTCTTCAACTCCATGTGAATGGAAAGTACATCAGGGCCATTTTCTAACACCACTTCTACCAACTGAATGATAGGCACAAAGTGAGGCCATTTTAGTACAGGTGCAAACACAAACAAATATATTATAGGTGGAAAAGGGCAGCAATTTGATGTTGTATAATTTTTAAGCAACCTTCTTGAGATTTTCTTAAAAATTTCTCACTATACTTTTTGGATCCTGTGCTAAACAGCTTCCTAGTGCATGCTTAGAGTTGGCAGATAGCTGAGAATGGTTAGAAAAATTAGGCCAATTTTGCTAACAGAGGAGGAGAAAACGAAATTCACACTCGCCAATTATTAGCTAGCAAAAAATTTCAAATAGATACACAACCGATGGGTCATTTAGCTTCCTTATTATCAACAATCACCAAAATTTTAATTTCCAAGATCTAGATGCTTCAATCATTTCAAAAGGTTATATATGAGATGTCAAAATCAAGAAGCACCAGCATGACTTCATACTAGAGTAAGAATAACCTCTACCTGTTGAATCCAAGAGAGACAGATATCAAACAAGTTCTGATCCATTAGAAACTGGCCAATAGCCTGCAGAACTTCATTGGCTATCTCACTTGAAAGTTGATCAATAATAGGGCCAGTTCTGTCCATTAGCTTCACAAGCAAAAGATCATCCCCAGAGGATGCAACTTCAGCATAAGCAGAATCCACGTCACCCACCTGGAGGGCATGCATTGCATTGCTCCAAGAAGTCCACACTGGATCCCGCTCTTGCCCAACATTATCATCTGCCATGGCTTCTGCAGTCAATTCAGGGGTAGCTATTCGTCCTACCCGAGATGTTCCACCATCTTCTCCAGCCACTCGAATTGCTTCCAAGGTAGCTTCATCCTTTGAGGCTTGCCAGACACTTCTAGCGGAGGGCCCCTCACCTAGCCTAACAGGTGCAGCCACTTTATCCCAAGCTCTCCTGCTGCTGCCTACCTGATCATTCTCATGCTCTGATTTAGGTGATCTACCATCCAGAGGACCACCAGAAGGTGCTCTTCGTGAGCCAATCTGGCCACTTCTAGAAGAACCATATGCAGGGAAATCCCAATCATCAGGTACATCGGATCTCCAAGTGGGAACCCTTCCCCTCATGCCGGAAGCAACTCCATCAGACTGGTTAAATCTTTCTCCAAATGGAATCCGACTATTATACTTAGCATTTGAGTAGTCAGGGAAGCCATTGTATTTCCCTAAGGATAAGGATCTATTTGATCCCTCAAAGCCCATTGCAAAGTTACCTCTTCTACCCGATGAGATTGTCAAATCCCTCGCCATGTCTTCAACAACTCTCTCAAGACCCCTGACCCTGTTCTCCAAAGTCACCATGCTATCATGAGATCCACCCATGAAGTCCTGCAAGGCAACAATCAAATGGCTTATGAAAAAAAGGCATATCCTAGGACAATGATGCAGAATTCACTTAAATTACCTGAAGCATGTCCATCAGATGAGCTTGTTGCCTCTCCAGCTGCAGCAACTGCCTTTGAATAGCCAACCAACTTCCTTTGTTGTTTACAAAGGCTCCTTCAGGCTGCCCATCTGTCTTGGACAAAGCCACACGATTTCCAGATGATTCTCTCTGATTTACATCAGTCCTGTCATCGTCGGATGCCCTTGTTCTCGGGTCTTTCCCATTTACCCTATCTTCAGGCCACTTATCCCGTACAAAATCCCCATGATCTCGTTGTTTAGAATATAAGCCTGTGGATATCCTCTCTATGTTGCGAAACTTAGTGTTCAGAGATCCAGGATCTTCAGCTTGGATGTTTCCAATGCGATTTGACCTTCCCCTAGAATCCGAGCCATTTGATTCTGACTCATTGTTTGAGTTTGAAGAATTTTGACACCTGCGAGGAACAATGACTTCTACTGGCAAATCACCAGAACCTCTTGTTTCAAGTTTCTGGAAAAATTCGGGGTTAAGTTCCTTGTCGCTTAAGGCAGGAGCTTTCTTCTTTAGTATTACAACTGCTTTTTCTGGAATTCCTCCACCTTTTCCTTCAGATGAATCCTTAGTTAATTGCTCTGCTCTCTCTCCAGCATTTGAATTTTTTGTATTATTTTCTGACAACTCGGCTGTGCCAGGAGATGAAGTTTTCTGCTGATCTGGAGATCCATCTCTGTCTTTCCCCACAATTTTCTTCCATAGTTGCAATGCCTCTGTCATGCTATCTCTAACAGGTTTGATCTGTTAAAGAAACAAAGATCAATAATTATTTTGATGAATTAATGATTCATTTGGAACAATGTTCTATTTTTTAAAATTCATTTAACTGATAAATTTCCATCAAAAGATACTAATAGAAGCACCAAGAACAATCAAAAAACTTTAAAAAAATTATTTAATCATCAGACAGGATTCAGTAACCGATACGTATTCAATTAAGTATTGCAAAACTAAAAATAATTATTTAATCATTGGACAAGATTCAGTAACCAACACATATTCAACTAGGTCAACACCAAGTAGGAATTTTTAAAGGGAAGCCCATTTGTAAAGTAAAAATGGTTTGGTATAGAACGACATCAACCTATCTAATTACTGAATTCTTATAAATTAAATTTTAGAAAATTTAAGATAGCAGCTAGCTACTTTTCATTTCATGGTGAAAATTAGACTGCCTCATTTTAATAATTTTCTTACCCCTTTCAGAGAGAGGAATCTTCACTTACCCAAATGGTTTTTCACTAATGAGTTGAGATTCATGTAAGCTTTTCAAGAGGACAAAAAAGAGAGATGGGGAACCATAATTTTACCTGTTCTGCAATGGGATAATATTTCGCACTTCACAACTAACCGCTGTCTTGCTGCTTCATGGATTAACTTTATCCAGGATCATTAATTTATTGATAGCTAAATTTCCATCGAGCTCAAGGGATTTCATCCACATAACAACGTTTCTATAACTCATTTAATTGCATCAATGATGAAGCTACATAGCCCAGGGAGATGGAAAGTTGCATTAGGAAATACTATCACACCAGAATTGGACTCTTGAATATTTTCCAAGATTCAAATTGTGTTTTTATTCCTACCATTACATGAGTGTCACCATAATACCGATAACATGCCAAATGTACTAGACACTTTGTAAAGGACATTAAATAAGGAAACTATCCTTAAGGCTCACAAATTAGCAATTTTAGACTTCCAAGTCAGATTTATCATTCCTTTTACTGGTTCAGCATTTAATTTTCATAGATATATTATTTCAGTTCTATATTTTGAGAACATTGCACAGCTTGAATAAATTAAAGTCTGCAAATAAATGAAACATATGACCTTTAATTATAGCAATATCATAAACTGAACAATGACGAGATTTTTAGGCAACAAACTTCTGAAAGCTCTAAATAATGATGTTCACCTTCATAACTACAGCAACTCTTATCAGAGTAAAATCCTAAAAATATCTCCATGGTGATATGCTAACCCATGCCTATAACGTGTTGGATGGGCAGAGAAGTAAATATCTGTCACAAACAGATTATCATGACAGATCATACTTCTAAGGTTACAAAAATTAGGGCATTGATGTCAGACAAAAATGCAAAAGATAAAGGAAAGTAACTAAACAAAAAGATGTCTTAAACTGAATGAGAGGGAACCAGGACATGATAATGTAGCTACCTTGTCAAATCGGCAAGACTCGAGCACTGTCAGAGTGGAAACAGCTCCATCAGTAACTAAGTGGCTAGAATGTGATGCCAGGATAATTAAAGCATCAGCTGCTGCCTTGCGTGTTGCCCAATCTGTGCTTCCAAGGCAATCATGAATACTTTGCAGCAATGACTCAAAGCTTTGTGGTGCAATTGCTCCAACCTGGAATGGGTTACTGCCCTTAGAGAATCCTGAATTTTCTTACAGAATAAATTATAGCAAGTTTTCCCTGCTAATCCACACTTTAGGGTAACAGAATAAATTGTTGAGCAAGCTACACAAATGAACAAGAAAACTAGAGACCAATGTAAAAGCATTTATCCACATGGTGTAGTTCGCAAAGAGTGGAAAGAAGGACACTCTTTCTTTCTTTTTTTTTTTTCTTTAAAATCAGTGTTGATTGCATTCTGCAAATGTACATAAACTTAACCATTTAGAAAACAGCCTGATGGGATGCTTCTGATCTTTAAATACCCAGGTAAATAATCTAATTCCAGTTGTGCAAGACGTGGATAGCTTACTCCAATTTCATCAACGGCAATTTTCTTACGAAGTCCAACACTACTAAGTTTCCCAAAATGAGATGTCCTTGAAACTCACAGTCTGTCAAGTCTCACTCAACTTATATAAATGCTTGAAATGTTTCTGAACTCTTCTGATACTAAAAACAAAAGAAACAGATCTTCTTGTCATATTTGGCTTGTCAAGTGGTACTTCAGAAATCTATTGAGAAATGATTAACAGACAGATAATTAAGAAGTTGAAACCTTATAACTCAAGCTAACTTCTCCAATCTTCTTTAGAGATGCTACAGCCCTCCAATCCCAAGACAAACACACAACATTCCTGCAAATTGTCTTGTCTTTCCTACAAGATATGACAACCCAAGGCAAAAGTAAAAGCTCTTTTTATACTAAATGACACCATAAATCCATGTGCATCTTGCAAATTCCTTCTTTGCCTGCAACCAATAGACCCTTGAACAAAACCAAAAGCTCAATTTTCTATACTTCGGCGGTTAAGCTAAGCTAAGCTAAGCGCATTATGCAAAGAACACTCAAGCCAAAAGCAAGTTAGTGATTAGTTTCCAATTATTTCTCATCATCCAAGCCAAACACTGACATGGAAAATGTAGATTACCAAACTCAATGAACACACAACAAAACAATTAGAAAGCTACAAAATTGCTCAAACCTGAGACAAGCTCGCAATAACTGGCAAAAGGGCAGCCTTAGCCAAGAAATTGGGATTGTTCAACAGCTTGCAGATCATAGGGCACAGCTTCTGAAAAGCCACAACAGGAGGGTCCGCGGCACATTCCACCATCTTCGCCATACACATTGCAGCACCAGATTGTACCCCTTTGTTCTGCTCCCCCATCGCCTCAAACAACGGCTTCACAAACAATCCCACCAATGACCCAACACCCCCATTGCTCTCTTCCTTCCCCTTCAAGTACTGTCCCGAGATCGCGCCAATTGCATCTCGACAAGCATCCTTGACCCCAGAATCCGCATCCTTCAGCCTCCTGACAATGTGGGCAATGATTTTGGTCAAGTGGGTCGACGTCAAATCACCATGTAATTGGCAAACAAAGGAGAGTAAGCGAATCGATTCCTTTTTCACAGCGGGTTTTGAGTCGTTAGAGGAATCGTAGAGGCAGTTGAGAAGCATAGGGAGGGTCTCCGGCGAGAGGGATTGAATAGTCTTTTCAAGATCTTCAACCGCGATTTGGTAGGTATCCCGATCGGCCAACTTGGAAAGGGAAGTGAGGATTCTCTGCTTCAGCTCCACCATAGCGAGGTGAGAGGAGAGGGAAGAAGAGGAAGATCTCAAAGATGGCGGTGCTGCATTCGGAGGTTTGGTGGGTTTTGTGGACTTGGAAGCTTGTGCGCTCATTGTGACTCTACTGCACAGTGAAAGATGATTCTATGGAGATTTGCAGCTACAAAGACTTGCAGAGAAAGATAATGAAATAGCAAGTAGAGAAAGCTCAGAGATGAAACGGATTATCTTCCATAGAAAAAAGAGGGTGATGAAGTGAGAGCTACGGCATTGTGTTGGAGAAGATGGGTAGTACCCAGCGAAAGCAAAATGAGATCTGAAAGTGAGGGAAACCAACTCGGTTCAATTCATTTTCCAATTTTTTGAAAAACCAATTATAAAGTTACGGTTTTTCATGTGATCTTTATTAAGATTAAAAGAAAAAAAAAATGGCAGTTTTAAATTTTATATCTTAAAACAGATAAACTGGATATATTTAAACTTTAATTTAAAATAAATAAATAAATAAGTCATGAGAAAAATATTTCAAAATTAGGGTTTTCATTTTTGAAAGACAGACATTGAATACACCACAAACTTTTTAGAAATTTTATTTTTTAATTTTTAAGAAATTTATTTTGGAAATTAGCGTTTGTTTTATTTTTTAAAAAAAAATACAATGAAAAAGTCCAAATTTTTTTTTTTTTTCTCAAAAGTTTTGAATAAAAGAATAAATAAATAATTACAAACAATCATGACCCTTCATCTTGCATACATTTGTGTAGAAAGTCAACACTCGATAAGTTGTGCAAGGTTGTGGGTGTCCAATCATGTCATGTGGGGGACCCAATGGGCATGAGGTAGAACATGATTGAGCATCATATATTTGATCTAAATATATATATATATATATATATATATAAATCTTAAGAAAAATACATGTACTATATAATAAACTAAACTCATTCAATATGTTTGGATATAGTCGATAGTGCACTCATTTTTTTAAGAGCAAATTACATGAATTACACCAAATTTAGTCAAAAATTATACAAAAAATTTAATGTGTTGCAAATTACTATACAATTTAGACCTAAGTTATTAAATTTGGATGTCAAACTTGACAAAAATAATAAAATTATTATAATAATGAAAAAAATTACTATAACGATATTATAATTATAAAATTAATATAATGACATATAATTTTATTTAAATAATAGAAATATGTAAAAATATATATATATATATATATATTAAATTAGTTAATAATTGATATCTAGAGAAATTATCAATTTCTTCTCACCTCCATTAATGGAGAAAAATAATTAAATAAAGTTGAGAGTTGTTTATTTAATTTTAAAAAATAAAATAATTTATAAATATGGGCTGATTAAAAGTACAGAAAGTTTGGGCTTCTGTTTTAGAAGCTTCCTTATGGGCTGGAGGTACAAAGATCAATTAACTGTGCAGGAGAGACAAGAAAATAATTGTCATTTCTGAATCAATAAAAGAAATCCTTTTTCTAAATAATCTAGAAGGTCAGATTATATATCTACATCTGCAATATGATTAGCAGTTGACTCGTCTGATCTGACACTAAGCAGAAAAAGACACCAGGATTTGGAAGGAGTAAACTAAGATTATATATATCTTCTGCTAGCCAAAAACAAGAAAGAAGAAAAGGAAAAAAGAAAACTTTGTCTCTTTCTAGGGTCAGATTCATTCTGTCATCTTCAAATTCAAGCTTGACAAGCTCGAAGTTAATGGCTTTGGCAGACGGACTTTTTCTTTTGGGTAAGCTTCTTATCTTCTTTTTTTTTTTTTCTTTTTTTTTTTTTTTTGAAGATCTGCTAAGTTTCACTTACTGGGTCTAGGTGTTTGGTCCTTGTTTTTGGCGATTAAAGAAGAGTTTCTCTTTTTTGGGTTCCAAGCTTTGTGGGTTGAGTCCTTTGAGTGATTTCTGGTTTGATTGGTTGTAGAGATGATGATTCTTGATGAGACCCACCCTTTTGTTTTCTGTTGTTTTCTCTTATGGGTCAAATTCTGATTTCACTTTACTGAAAGAAAATCTGGAGTAGAATCGAGAGCATTTTAGTGGTTGTTTTGATGGTAGTATGAAGTAATAGGTTTAGATCTCATAACTTGAAAATTTTTGCTCCATTTAGCATGAATTTTCCACGGGAATTTTTTGTGTTTTCTTGTTGAGAAATTTGGGTTCTGTTAAAGCTTTTATTTTTGGCTAATTCGTGCTTAAAAGACCACAGCTTTCTGAGTTTAAATTTTCATTTTCCCCCATTCTTGTTGAGAAACAAGTATCTGCAATTTTCTACCTGTTGACCCAACTGTGAGTTTTCATTTTTTTGGGGGAAAATGGTGATTCTTGACAGAGGCTCTGGGTTGGATTATGTTTTAATAACAACATTATTTTAGATCAAGATGCATTGGTGGTGAATGGTGATGTTGAATGACAGGTTATTGAAGTTCTTGTTAGGATCTCTATCTTTCTGTAAGCTTGGAAGGTTACGAATTGATTACTCGAAGATATTGGTGAAGACATTTCGTAGTGCAAATTGGTTAATATGGTGCCAAAACTAGAAGCTGTCAAAGGCGGTGGAGGATCTATCAGGGTTGGGACGACAGGGACAATCAGTTCCCTGATGACTAGGGAATTAGAATCCGTTAAAACTGTGCCTCAAACAGCAGGATCTTCTCAGCAGAAGCCTGGATCAGTTCCTGCTTCAGTTGCTGCTACTCCCAGAAGACACAGAAAATCATTGGATGAAACTAGCAGCTGTACTGGTAATTGTAGCAGCATCGAAATAACCAGGAAAATGAAAAGCTACACGAGAAACACTCATCGAATCCCAATGCTCGGGCCTGATAATATTGCTTTTGATAGAACTCCTAGCAGGGAGAAAAGTGACAAGAAAGGACCTAATATAGTTGAAATTGTGGACATAAAATGTGGAAATCCTGATAGAGCATGGGCTAGTCCTATAACAAGCAAACTCAAGAAACTTGGATTCTCAAAGCTTTCGGAAAGCATTATCTAATTTCTCCGATTTCATTCTATCAGATTGCAGAATGCTGTAACTTTTGCCTGAAAAATTACTTGCTGACCGATTTTTCCCAGAAAACTTCCACTGTAGAACACCATGGTTAGTGAAGGCCTGTTATTTCCTCATTTTTCTTCTTTTCGGCTGTTAAAACCAATCTTATAGTTGGTTCGGAATAACAGCTAGAGGAAGCTTTATCTTCAAGGTGGAACTGAGGTTTCTGTAAACTTCTCTGAGTGTTTATCTCAAACCCATCATGCCTCTGGTGCCAAATCTGCTTAGGAGTTTGTGGAGCATATGTTCATAATCAATCTCCATAGTAAATACCAGATTAATGCACGTTTTATCTGGTTGCAATCGAGGAGTTTCACGAACAAAGAGACAATAGCTTTTGATAGTTGTGGTCTTATACCTACTGTTTTCACATCAGTTCTGGACTTCAAGTTCTTGACTCAAGTGAATATCATTTACAATTTCTTGTTTGAGTTATTGTTGGTTTTAGACGGTGATATGTCCAAATTCATGTTCTTGCAGTTAGAAAAGTTTAAGTTAAGCTAATCAGAAGAGCTTTTTTCTTAACCATAAGGAGATCTTATCTATATGTAGATTCTGCAACTGGTGCTGTATTATGCAGAAATGGTGTATAGACATTGAGACCAAGCTGAATGCAAATTTAGTTTCAAATAATTATTGGAGACCCAGAAAGAAAGGTGAACTTGTTCATGGTCATTCTTGGTAATCAAGAATGAAGAAAGAGGATTGCTTGGTGTTTTAGGTTCTTGTTGTGGGTAAATGCTTTTTGAATGCTCTATTTTCACTTCAAGTGTTCTTGTTCTATGGAATGATTGGATTGGAAGAAAAGGGTACTGAAATTCTTTTCAAAGGCCTTTTTTTCAGTGTTGGACTGGTTTAATTCGAGTCGTGGTAAATTTTTTGCGTCAAATGTAACACGATATCTCACGTAAATCAATAATTAACTAAAATATATTATTAAGACTGTTTAAGTAAATTACATATAAGGTTGTTTTGTTTGTTTTTTAAGTTTTGAAACTTATAAATTATTAATAAATAAATATAAATATATATTTAATTAATGTATTTATTTTAGTTATAAATTTTATATAAATTACAAATTTTTAATAAAAAAACGTTTATAAGTTGAAAGATGAAAGAAGATGTATAAATAAAAATATGATAATTTAAAAAGAGAGTATTTTTGTTAAAATATTCTTAACTCAAGTTTTCTCTAAAAGAAAAGCTTTTAACTTTTTTAGGATTCAACCAATCACAACCTCTGGATTGAAAGACTTTGACCATCTTCACTATTTAAATTATCGTAAGCAACATCAACGGCTGCGATCACTCTACATAAAAAAGTGAAACACACACAATATTTTCCTCTCAAACAGAGTATATGAGTGGATAGAAGAAAACTCATCAGATAAAGGCCAGCTTGATCTTCTCTTTATACATGAACACAATCCATGGCTTCCACAATCCAATTTACCGGCACTCATCTCCTCTTCTCTTCAAAACCCATTAATAAATTTCCATCGTCTTCACCTAGATTGAGTTCCCAGTTTCTGGGTTTCCAGAACAATTTCGCTTGGCTTAAACCCACTAGAATTGGACCCTCCAATGGGTCAAGAACACAGTGCTGGTTCAAGTTTGGGAAGAATGGCGTTGATGCTGAAAACGCCGGCATTTATGGCAGCCAGTCACGGGACGACTTCGACAGAGACGATGTTGAGCAGGTCTGCATTTACATATATAAATATATGTATAGGTTGGTGTTATTTTTCTCTGTGTTCCTTTTGTTGTTCTTGAGTTAAGGGTTTCGTTTTCTGCCAAATTTGTTGCTGCTATTTCATGTCATAAAGTCTATGATTTGAGTTTTCATAGTGAGATGGAGGGTGCTGGGTGATTTTGCCCAACTGACCTGATCAGAGCTTAAGCTTTGAATAGGAGCAATGGTTTCAGAACTTGATAGTTAGTGGGTGTTTGGGGCAGCTATAGTTTTTGCCGTAAATTTTAAAAATGTTGATAAAATAATTATTCACTGAAAGTGCTTTATTTGGGGAAAGTAATTTTCAAAATTTGTAGTAAAAGTCAAATTCATTTTCTAAAAACTACACATAATAATTATTAGCTTTAAACTTATTAAAAGTAGATTTGAACTTTAGATGCTACTTAAATCACTTTATGTTTTACCCGATTGGTTGTAAAAGTGCTTTCAAAACACAAAAGCTGAAATAAAAAAACTGAGCCAAATAGCCTCTTAGTATAAATAGAAATGCTAGGCAAGATAGTAAGTTTTTAGTTGTGAAATGTCAATTTATAAAAAGAAAAAGTAGATTTACACTATAGTCAGAAGAAATGAACTTGGTATGTAGATTTCATGTAGACATTTTGTTCAGGAAACTCAAAATGTATTCTCTTAGATGCCATTGTTATCATTTTGGAAAAGAAAATTGATAATTTCATACTTAAAATAAGTTTTGATTTCATAAACAAAATTGATTTTTTCAAAACACAGCCTTAACAAAGTTGATATTGTTAGTTGCAGAACAATTTGGTTTATTATTAGTTTTTACTTTGATGAGTTATATGATTTGATCAGCATAATTGTTAGTTAACTACTTTTATTGTTCTTATCCATGTCAATAGAACTTGAACTCAAGGCATTATAAATATTATCAAAAGCACATTTTAATTCACAGACCTTCGGGTAGTGAGTTGTTACTGTACTATACAGTCTTGATGAATACATCAAAGATTTAAGCACAGAAAAGATTTTGATATCAGAGTGTTGCTTGGGTTGAGAAAGTTATATTAACCTGTCTTACTTTCTACTGTGCAGTACTTCAACTACATGGGAATGCTTGCGGTAGAGGGCTCATATGATAAGATGGAAGCTCTTCTGAACCAAAACATTCATCCAGTAGACATCTTACTTATGTTGGCTGCCTCAGAAGGAGACAAGCCAAAGATTGAAGAACTTTTGAGAGCTGGTGCTAATTACACTGTCAAGGATTCGGATGGACGAACTGCACTTGATAGAGCTGTTAGCGAAGACATCAAGGATTTGATCCTTAACTTTTCAGCTCAGAAGGCATGATTGAAATGGATAATACCTACCGAGATCATTTATTTACACTTGGAGATTTCAAGTACTACCATCTTGTAATTTGTAGGTTCTACTGATGAATGCTTAATGTCTACAGTTGATGTTGGATTAGTAAAACATGTTGTAAAATCTTGATTCATATACCATTTAGAAGGTTCTCTGAATTTCAGAACTTTTATTGACAAGTGAAGAGTGTTGCTGAAGCATAAATTGTAATAGCTAAAATCCATATTTTGATGGCTCATTATCACTGGTATTGTTTCCATCATATTATAAAGAGCTAAAAAAATTTCGTCAATATGAAATAAAGAAGTGAATATGCATGTAAATCATGACAGGAGATATACCATGTTGAACTTTACATTCACTATAAACAAATTTTAATATCTAGATCTATGGATAAAAAGGCTGTGGAGACCTGTAATCATCTATTCCTTTAGTGTTCAAAGGAGTCAAGTGGGTGATGGTGAGATCAGTTAGAAAAGAGTTATAGGCGTGGACGGCAATCAGTGGAAGGAGGAAATTCGCGGACATCATTCCAATCACAATCTTTTGAGTAGTTTGGAAGGAGAAGAATGTAAAAACTTTTGAAGGGGTGGATTAGGAGAATGACTTTGATTCAATTAAGAATAAATGGTTCTGCACCCTTTATTTTTTGCTATTGGATTATGTTTTGTACTCTATGGAAGATTTAGAAAACTTTATTCACTTGCTAATTGATATATAAATATCGTATATACAAGTTGACATCCCCTTGATTTTTTGTTAATAATACTGTTCATTTAAAAGAAAATAGAATTTACAGTATGAGGTACAATCAGGAGATATACTATGCCAAACTTTATATTTATTATAAACAGATTTCAGCACCTGTGAATTCTACAGTAAATGAGGTACGATGCCTTTCCAGGGAATATCCTCAGAAGCATGGGAACTTCTGAAAAGATTACAGATTTGGGGAATAAAACTATTATTACATGTTTCTTGAATTGATGTATAAAAGGCATAGTGCAATTAGCCAAGCTTTACTACTTGAAATAAAGCTCAACAAGTTTCTTCAAAGTGTCGAATACACTTGTAAAGGGATTAAATTCAATTGGAGCTTTCAGTCCCAAGTCAGGAAATTGGTTTGTTAGAGCCTGCTGCATTCCGGACATCGACATCATAGCAGCAAGCTGACTGTTTGACATTACTTCACAGTCTTGTGGAGTGTCCTTGATTTTGCTTGGGTCATATCCAAAATTCGCCAAGTAAGTTTTGTACTTCTCTATGAATTCAGGGCCAGGATTAGGTCTCCTGGAATATATCTGAAATATCAGTGAAAGGATGTTATTCGGGTTCGATATGAAAATGAATGGAAAATATGTGAACATGCACAAGGTTGCAAGCAAATCTGAGACTGTCAAATCATTATTCCATAAAGTGATCTGAAAGAAAGACCAGAAGGTTCATATTCCACATGTGGTAAACTTAGAACACCGTCTCTGAAATGATCTTCATGATATTATCAGAGGTCCTAGTACATTTATAATAGTCAAGTTGCATACTCATCAAAATTTTAGGTCCTTAGGAATTTGTCCCTCTTAATTATGGATGTAGATCTAGATTAGTTGTGAACAAGTATTATCATATCATTTCAATATACTTTTTCCGGAAAAGTCAAATTACCTGAACAAAACTTCTGTCTTTTGCACCAGAGACAAGTGCAAAAGTGTCATAATCTGTAGCAATAACATCATAAGGCTCCTTCGGAATAAAAGGAATTGTAGGGAAACGAAGGAAACACTTCTCTTTAATCATCACTTGCTTTTCAAGGTCAGTTTCGTTCTTCTCCAAATCTTCCTCTGGAAGGCATTGAACCTTTCCCCTTATACCAGTTATGTATCCATCAGGCCCCCCATGAACACAAAACGTATCAACTTGGATAGCAGGTGTTTCCATATCAACAGTATATACACCCTGCAATGCACAACATGTCAGGGCAATCTTGAATGGTAGCCCACAAATTTTTCCTAACCTGACTAACTTCACCCTACATCTCTAATAAACCACTGGAAAATTCATAGGTTCACTTCCATATGCTCTCTAACAATCTGGTCCGCTACTATTATGCAGAATGAATCTAGTACAACAACAATATCTACTGCATTATACCTGGGTGCAGTGGCAATCTTCTTGACCTTGTCCAGCAAACCCACGTTTTAACGAAGCTACTTCAAACCATCTTCCAGAATATCTAATTGGGTCAAAATCCTTGGCTGTCATACCTCTCATCATCATTAAATTCCCACTTCTTTCCCCAGATCCCCTGTCGATAGGAAGAGTTAATGTATTATTTGCAGCACTTCCTAGTTGGTAGAAGTTGCATTGAGTTGATAGCTCTGATGCTACAACCTGCCCAAGAAGGCACAGAAGATCTTAGAAAGTGCTATGCATGAACTACCCAAGAAACCGTTATACTTTTTCTTTTGAAATATGAAGAGTATAGCATAAATATAAACAATGGTACCAAAGGGGTACTATCCATATAAAAGATATTTACAAGTCAATTAGTAAATCAATGACATTCCCAATATTTTCTATCCTATATAATGTCATGATTCAAAATCAAAGAACGAAAAATATGTATCCATTTATCCCTAAATTTAACAATTTTTCCCTCAATCCCCTCAAAAGCTCTAGCATTCATCTCTTTCCAAATCACCTAAAAAAAAAAGATAAAGGAATAAGAAAAAGATAATTTTTCTTTTTACATATCCCTGCCCAAGCCAAGAGCTCATCCCTCATCGATCCTGCAATCACCCAACTAATCCCTAAGAGACTATACACCATAGACCAAATGCTATACACCATCGGGCACCACAAAAGGTCAAGATTCCGCAGCCGTCTTGCATAAATAGCAGCGATTAAAGTCTAATTTTGGAGAGAAGTCTTGTCTAATCTTACTTCAAGTGGAAAATGAGAACAAAAACCAGAAATACTTGTCTTTTAACAAGCTTCCAACCTGATGGGTTAAGTGAAAGAAAGCCACTATTTTAAATGAACCTATTTTTGCATAAGACCTTCAAACAGCCATGGAAGTTTGTGCAATGTACATACATTCATACTCTGCAGAATCATGAATCTCCCTCACCTGGTTTGTTTGAGAGAGGAATACAAAAGCAGCAACCCCAGGTATGACATGTTTTATGAGAATATCACTTGACACAGAGTAATCAAATGAACTCCTCAACATCATTCTCCTCGGCATTCCCCTGAGATTGGAGAAAACACAGAGACCTAATCAGTTCAAGGAGATTAAAATCACTTGAAACGATGAAAAGGAAATTCAATACTCTACTCTATAGAACACCATTTCAAAATTCACCCCATAGAGCTGTGTATCTTCCATGAAAAGAAGAAGAAAAGGAAGTGAAAAAAGAAGGTCAGCAGTTCCCATCAAGAGAGAGCAGAATTATAACGAATTTAAGCAAAAGAGGAAGAAACTGGAGGAAAAAGATAGTAAAGTAAGCATTTTTGCAAGTGGGTACCTGGTAATAGGAGGAGAAGAACATTGAAGCAGAAGAGGTGTTGCCTGATTCGGAGTGAAAATTACCATTCCTCTCCCCCAGAAAAATTTCTGCTTGTTGCCTCTTTCACTGCCGGGTGTGATGTATCGTTGCTTGTTGGAGTGACACTTGATGGGAACCACAGGGAAGCATCTTCAGAGGATGCTGAGTGATCTAAACGACGTCGTTTTATATGATATATCATCCATAATTTTCATGAAGACCAGAAATTGAAACAAGAAAGCAAAATGACACTAAG